TATATATATATGAGATGCAGCCAGGTAGTACTTTTGGATATATAATCGATTGCAACCATATTACGAATAAAGAAGTTTTTGCCATGATGTACAATATAGACTTGGATTTTTTACCGTCGAAAGCACCTGTTCATCTTCTGCGCAGACTTTGAACTAGGAGGCGCTTATATCGAGTTCGGAGACTCGTTCAGGGGTAGATGCATGTAGCGATATGCATTGGTTCTGTGTGACTCTGTCATGATCATCCGATATGTGCCCGGAGAGGGTCATAGATAATCAAAAGTTACTGGACTATTAATTTGTCCCAATCATGTATTCTTGTGTCTTTAGCTACGTCTTGTGTTTCGCCTGGCGCAAATTTTCTGGTTGACTGACCATCGATAAAGGCTTATTTTGAATCTTATTGACTGGGACTCAATTTTGCACTTTCACGCTTTGCCGCAGGTCATGAGGAATGGGCATATCGCGACAGTGACGCTTTTTGCGACCAGTCCTGCGGGGTGGTAGTGAAGAAGTATGCATGGAGGTAACCAATTAAGATCTAAACTTCATATACAGGCATATACGAGCCAACGTTCGAAATTAGTAGAGGCGCGCCTCTTGCTCCTCACGGGAAAATAAGACTATTATGACAGATTAACGCTGCAGAAGTCATTTGAATTCCAGAATGGTCCACCTTCACGTTCGATTTGTGTGATAGATAACGAATTAAAGTTTTTTTTTCAATTTCAAAGTTCGATCCAAATTTGAACTTATTCAACACATCCTTAAGAGAAATACTTTTGTTCACAAGAGTCGAAAAATATACTTCTGTCAAACTCGATTTGGCTGGCATCAGTATTTTCATGATGAATTTCTGATTCTCGTAGAAAATAAAAGTTAAAAGGGGTTGTGAAGCCAGAAGGCCATCGCATCGTCGATTATTTATAAATATGCAACCCATATACTTCTATGAGGATAGCAGGAACAGATTTATAATAGAATATTCTGTATTTTCGGTTGCGTTTTTTTAAGATGTGGAGAGATGTAGTGTATGCTTCGTGTTGGTACGAGCTCATATGTAAGTATATAAAACCGTGCGTGTATGTGTATATACACATCCATATAGATTGCGTACGCGTCGATGACTAATTTTAGCACACCATTGCTAAACAGCCATACGTTGAAAATCGAATTTTATATCAATAGCATATTAATAGCACAAGCGACATTTCGAAGTGTTTTGCCGGCTTAAATATACTTCGACCGTAATATTTGTCGTTGTAAATGATTCTATTCAAATGATTCTCAACTAATCATTGCGCTGGCACTCGTCAGAAAACGAGAATAGATAAAATAAACAACTATAGTTATTACTATCCTCGTCACAACAAGCGGTACCATCTGGGCTACAACCATCTCCAACTGATATGCAGTCGCTTTCATCGTCTCTACGTTGTATTTTGGCATGGTGTTCGGTTTCCTTCAGAGTGTTGCATAGGGGGCACATCTCTACTACCGTAGCAAATTCACCACTTGTGACGCATTCTCTAATGCATCCTACGTATTCTCTTCCAAGTGTATCCAGGTCTGTATTTTTCAGGTTGAGCCCACAGGGGCATTCCGAAGCTAGTGCATCAAAGCAACCAGGATATATAATTAAAGTACTCTTTTCGCATTTTGAAGTGGAAGCCCCAACAGCACCAAGGGCCATATTCGATGCAATGGCAAGAGTGAAAAAAACTGCCGTAGATATAGATATCATGAATCTCATTATAAGGTGGCTATCTGTGATTCAAGTAGTAGTCTTCTTGTTATTCTTGCGATGCATTTTTAGTTGCGGACTTACTACTTAATATAACCACGATACATCGAACAATTATCTACCTATTGACAGATTATCATACTCTTTACTAGAGGAGAAGGCGAACAGAGTCTATTCTTATTCTCATGCAGGCTGGTGTATATACATACGGAGTGACGGATTAACGAGCCTGTAGTCGTGCTGTCCACGCACATATTTATCTTTGTCATAGTCACAAATTTATGTATGTATTGATATATATATATATATAAATAAAAGAACAAATGCACATCTGCAATTTTTTCTTCTTCAAAACAATTCTAGTAAATATGTGAATAATGTATATATAAATAA